AGTCTTTTAAAAGTATCATTATCTGCTCAGATAGATCGGTCTGATCTCGGTAAGCCTTGGCCAACTCAGCTTGGAGGCCTTTTATTTCCTCTTCCCTTTGCCCTAAGAGAAGTTTTAGGGAGTTCCTCTCCTCAGTAACCCGTTGAAAGTCAGCCTCGTATCGACGCAGCTCGTTTTGGGACCGAGAACATGCTTCTCGATGAACTGCCGCTGCCTGCAAAGAAACAAGAAATGAAGTTAGAAACAAAAAGTAAACATAAAGGTAGTACCGACAAAATACTTTTAAGGCTTACCTGATTCAAAGCCTGCTGCACCCCATGAAAAAGATCCGATTCATCACTAGTATCAGCAACATCCTCGATACCAATAAACAGATCACGAAAGGGATCCTCTCCATCATGAGGCATGTCTAGATCGAGGGCCCCCAAAGCTTGGGCTTCCCGAATCACCTCTGCGGAAAAAGCGGGGAAGGTGGGCGAATCTTTGATTGCTGCAGCCCCAAATGAATCACTTGGAGCATTCTCTTCGGTCCGAAGGGATTCAAGAGGGGCCCCTTCAGATATATTCCCCATCTGTTGGCTTCGATGGGATGCATCTTCGATCTCCGATAATTCAGGGATTCCGCCCGAATCTTTCTCCGGTATATACTCAGTTCGAGGCGAAACCTCATGAAGCATCATCGATCTAGCTGCCGATGGGGCATCGGTGGTTCTCTATGTTCGTGCCGCCAGCGCGGACCCATCATTTTCTTTTACTTCTTCGTCTTCATCCCTTAGACGCAGAACTAATTCCACGGTCAAAGGAATGGCATTCTTGTTCGGCTTACGAGCCGTCCTCTTCTTCGGTTTTGGATCTTCGAGAACGGAGGCTCTTTTCCTTTTATTTTCCTTCACCAGCTTTGGGACGGAGGCCAAAGTTTCTTCCTCATTGGACAAGGGCCTCAAAACCGCATCTTTGCCCAAACCTGCATATGGAAAATTTTATTAAAATAGTTGGAAAGAATCTCATTCGAATTATCAAAGAGTACGAGAAAGGGGCTTACCATGATTTTTGGCCTCCCACTGACCCTTTGACAAATCACTCCATGAGCGCTCGGCGTATGTGGAGGTAGAAACAAGAGCGCGTACTCAGTTCTTGAAATTGGGAACTGCTCCAGGCATCCAAAGAACCACTGCATCACAAAAATAAGAGTATCGATGAGAAAAGAAATAAAAGAACAAAATAGAAGGAAGTAACAGTAGGATCACACTTACGTTTCATATTCCACTCCCCGGGAAAGGGCATTTTTTGGGTCGGAATCAGGTCTGAAGTCCTCACTCGAACGAACCTGCCCATCCAGCCCTGATCTCTATCCTCATAAATGCTCAAGAATAGAGCCTTGGTAGCCCGACGCTGAAGTTTTATTAACCCTCCTCGAAAAAGTCGAGGACGGTACAATCGGATAAGATCGTCGAGGGTGAACGACATCCCCTCGATTTTGTTCACAAAGTATCGGATCAAGATAACGATCCGCCAAAAAGAAGGATTGACCTGGCCTAGGTTTATTTGGTATTGACGACAGAAGTCAATAATAACGGAATCGAGGGGACCTAACGTGAAAGGGTAAGTATACACATTCAAAAGCCCTTTCACGTAAGTGGTGATATCTTCGTCAGAAGTAGGAATTATTATTTCTTTTTTATCCCAATTGCAATCTTTATTTAACTGTTTGAGGTGCTTCTCGGTTATCGAACACATGTACCTCGATACTGGCTCGCATCGGCCAGGGACCGATGAGCCTTTATCGACCTTAAAATCAGAAGTAAGAACACATGCCCCGGGAACGTACTCCTCAGGCCGTGGTTCTGCCGGTGTCTCATCGACGGCACACTGTGAAGATGAAGCCTTCTCTTTCTGAGGAATGGTTTGTGATGTTTTCACCATTTTTGAATTCAAAGGTAAGGAATAGAAGAAAATGACGAAGATTTGGTAAAATTGAAGAGGGGATTTTGGCAAAGAGAAATCACAGATTTGCGGGCAAGTCAGAGAATACGAAAAGGAATTTGGGAAATTTGGAAGATTGGAGATGTAAAAGTGGTAAATGATGAAAGGAATAGTTATTTATAGGTTTAAGCGATGGTGGTTCAGTATCAGCGATGTCCGACCACCGTCTGACATGCATTAAATGCCTTGAAAGACTAAATTGACGGGACAGCTATCACGTACGTCATGATCGATCCCGATGGAAATGTCAGTTTATAATCCGATCGAGCCATTGAAAACTCATATCGTTTCTCACCACATTCTTCCTGAGAAACGAGGGGACTATCTGTATACGGTCGAATTAGATTTCGGCCTTCGTACGTCTGATCGAGTTCGAAAGATAAGCGATCGAAGTGAGACTTCGAGATGGGTTCCGAAGATGGTACAAACAAGCTTCGAACCCGAGGGGCCGATCAATGTCGAGTTCGATATCATTATCAAGCTCGAATCCAAATCGAACTATGATGCAAAGTAAAGCTATCAAGCTTATGATCCGGAGACCGACCAACATTGACTCCGAATCAATTCAAGGGTCCGAGTCAGAATCGAGTTTAAGCCAAGATCGAGATCTCGAGTCTGGATCGAGCTCAAGCCAAGATCGAGAGCTCGAGTCAAGATCGAGCTCACAGACAAAAGCCGTTGTAATCCCACTAGAGGAGAGAATCTTGGCAGGAATTATGAAAAAACTGATTTATCATGGACTTCCCACTGAGTATTTTTAATTATATTTAAAGTAAGATCCCTCTACTATAAAGGTGGAGGGTTATCATTTCTGTAAGGACAGTTTTCAGATAGAGCTCATATTGTAATTCAAGCACCATATCCTCTTATATTCAAGAGTTACTCTGTTAAGCCTAAAAACTGATCCATCTTGCTTAGTCCTAAAAATCGTCTTCTTTACAACTTTGTTTATTTTATATTCTCTGCAGTCCATATTTGATATTTCCTTTTATCCTTACGATTTGTATTAAGCTATATCACATATCCTTAGAACTACGTATAAATTCAACTCTATCCGTTTTTCGGGTAAACAAATACCTATCTATGAATATAGAACATATAGTAGTGTTTCGCTTATATAGATGCCTGATTGGAATATTGACAGGTCCAAATTACTTTCTTAAATAGATGAATGTTGGATAATATATCATATTTCCATAATGAAATGTTTTCGGAGTTGGCAAGTATAAATGATCAACTGACATTCTGAGACAACGTCTCAAAATAAATAAATCTCGAGTGTATAGTTTTAATAAATAAAAAAATTCACGTGTTTAATTATAATTTGAGCTTAATTTCTCAAAGTTGATCTATACTACAACTATTCAAGATCATTTAAAAGTCTCTCTGATATTAATAAAGATTAGAAAAGAAAAGAATTAAATACAAAAGTAAATAATCTCATAGTCTAGGACTAGATCATAATTAGGAAAACGAAATTACCCACACCACATCAAAACACAAATAGATGAGAGTTCAAGATCAAAGGAAATAAATTCAATCTCAAAGTTCAAGAGTCTTAAGAGATGGCAATAATAACGTCACAAATATATGACGTTGTAAATAAGTGCAACCAAATATGCATAGTACAACATAATATCTTTCTTTTAAGAACTTGAGTCTCCAGCATAATCCGTTTGCACTAAGATAATCCTTCGCTCCATCTGCCAGTGTAAGTGAATTTTTTTAATAAGATTGGAAAAAAAATTATAATTACCAAGAAATAATTAAAAGTTACAAAATAATTAAGTAGTGATTTCTCTGTAATGAAGCTGAGTACCCGAGCATAAGCTTCCAACTCGTTTTGTGTAGTGGTGAAATCATTCCTTAACCTGCTCAAGGATTGGGAAAACCTGAAAATTGAAATGACGCCAATTGATGCCGGAATGANATATATATTGTATGTTATGTATAAAAATTATACAAATTTTATATATTTTTTCGGCTACCAAATGTTAATAGTTTCTAGCGCGATCTAAAAGTGACAATACCCCAAATAGTTATAGTAACACCGAGATGATTATCATTTTTTTTTGTTAATACTCGTATAATGGAAAAACAATCATAATTTTCCATTAAGTGATATGCATTTTCACTTTAATTTGTTTATTCTTAAAGTTAATTGTTTAGCTAGGTGTAAACGCCTCATGCGTGTAAATATTTACCGTGCCTATTGTTTGACATTTATAAGCTCTCCTCGAACTAGCTGTTGATGAAGCAATGCTCCTGCTATTTTGTAATTTTTGCACATATATATTCTTAACTATCCAATTAAAAAAAAAAAACTAGTTGTTGATGAAATCAAAGGTAACTTCTAAACGTCACAATGATCGATACGAGAGTTGACCTTAATTAATAATCTTAAGAAAGAGTTGTGTTTAATGTTAAGGGATTGTTTTTAAGATTAGAGTTGCATTGTAATTATTTAACTAGTAGCCATATTTGTTAGGATTGGCTATGGCTATTATTGCAATTAGTTAGTCAGGATGTTAGCTAGTGGTAGATGACAGCTGTACAAATATAGTATCTTGTATATAGGCGCACTAGTTCTGATTTTTAACTAATAAGAAATATTTTTCCAGTTTGAGATTCTTCGAAGCTTCCTCGTCTTCTCTGAGCTCCATGGCTTTCAGTCATGGCAGTTGAGCTTCAGCTCAAACATTTCTCCAATAGCCCTTAGTTTTGAAATGGTATCAGAGCCTAGGCTTCATCTATTGAGGTAATTCACGGTCCCTTACTTCGTCTTCTCTCCAATTTCGAGTTGAAGATCTAGGTTTTCTTCGAAATTGTTAATCAATTTTTTTTTTTGAAATCCCGTTCGAAACTGTAATTTCACTGTGATCTCATCTGATAGTGACGACTTATAGCATTTTTAACCTCTGGTTTTCTCGAAGTGTGGTTTTTTGTGTTGCCTCTGTTGAATTTCCATTTTTATCTTCAATTCACGGTTCAATCAATTGTGATCTATGATTTGAACAATGGCTGGAGACAAGGAAAGTGCTGCAGACAAAGACACCTTAGATACCTCGAGTCCCCTGTACATGCATCCATCGGAGAGTGCAGGTTCAGTGTTGGTACCTGTAGCTTTTGATGGCACAGGATATAGATCTTGGAGGAGTACTTAGAGCCCTCTCAGTGAAGAATAAGGTTAGTTTCATAACAGGGAAGTGTCATAAACCAGTAATTGGACATGCAACTTTTGATCAGTGGGAACGATGTGATGATATGGTGACTTCATGGATTCTAAATTCCCTTTCAAAGGACCTAGTGGATAGTTTGCAATATGTGAGTGATGCAAAGGAGTTATGGCAGGAGTTAGAAGATAGGTATGATCAAACCAACGGTGCAAAACTATACCAACTTCAAAAGGAAATTAATGATCTGAGTCAAGGAACTCTTGACATAACAGGCTATTATACAAAAATGAAGAAGCTATGGGAAGAGCTAAACACACTGAATGCACACGCACAATGCAGCTGCCAATGCACCTGCGGAGGTAAAGCTAATATGCACAAGGCTGAGAAAGATAGAAGACTGATACAGTTTTTGATGGGTTTAAATGAGGTGTATACTGTTGTGAGAGGGAGCATACTGATGATGAACCCCCTTCCAAGCATTGCACAAGTCTTTTCTATTCTCATACAAGAAGAGAAGCAAAGAGAAGTTAAACCAAACAATCAACAACTGGTGATTGAATCTACATCACTGAATGCTAATGGTCCAGAAAACAACAACTTTAGAACAAACTACAACCAACACATGAATCCTTCTGGGAACAATAGTTATGGAAGAGGCTATATGGGAAATAGACCTAGGCCATTCTGTAATTTCTGCAAGAGGTCAGGACACACTAAGGATAAATGTTATAAACTTCACGGGTACCCTTAGAACTTCAAGTACAACAATGGTAGCAGGGGAAAGAAACTAGCAGCAAATGTGTTTGATACAACAGGTAATGGGACAAATATGACAGATGAAGGAGGAAACCTTCAGGAGCAAGGTCGAACCATGCAACAATTGAGTAAGGAACAATATGGACAACTGCTGAGCATATTGGAGAGTTTTAATAATGGAAACAATAGAGACAGCTCATAAAACATCAACATGACTGGTGGAGCTGTTAACTTTGCAGGTATGACTGCTTGTACCACCTCTGTTGGGCCCAGTAAATAGTCTCGTGAAAGTTTCAAAGAAAATGTTGATTCCTGGATTCTTGACTCAGGAGCCACTAACCATATGACTTATAACAAAGCCTCATTGAGTAATATCAAAACTCTAGTTTATCCCTTTTTGGTCTCTTTACCAAATGGATATAAAGTAAAGGTGACAATAATTGGAGATGTCATTCTCAGTCCTCAATTCACTCTAAAAAGAGTCCTATATGTGCCCAGTTTCAGATTCAATCTAATCTCTGTACACTTATTGACAGTCCAACTTGATTGCATCATCATATTCACTAAATTTTTATGTCTTCTTCTACAGGACCTTTCACTGAGGAGGTCTCTGGAGATTGGTAAAGCCAAAGGCAGTCTGTATTTTCACTATTCAAGTTCAGGAAAGAACAATTTTTCTGATGTCACTAAAGTTTCCACCACATCACTCACGCATAGTTCTGCACCTAGTGCATCCATCTAAGGTAGTCACAATATCAATAATGTACACTGTCAAGACCACTCTTGTGATTCTGCACCTAGTGCATCCATTTCTTCTCATGTTTGTGATAATAAAAGTGTACAAGTTCTTTTGAATGCCAATAAAAATTCTTCTAACAAAATAGACTCAATGTGCAATGTATGAACCTCTAATGAAAGTCTTGTGGGTCTCTTGTGGCATAACAGGCTGGGTCATGTACCTTTTATCAAGATGAAGGGTATCAACCCTATACCAATAACCTTTGCAAACAAATAACCTTTTCTATGTTCTATTTGCCCTATGGCCAGACAAAATAGCTCTCCTTTCCGAGAAAGAACTACTTCCACAACCAAGATATTTGGACTCTTACATGTGGATATGTGGGGTCTTTATCATGTACCAACTCATGACAATCACAAATACTCCATTACCCTAGATGATGATTATAGTAGATGTACTTGGACACATCTTCTAACTAGCAAAAGAAATGCCCTCCATGTTATAAAGGCTTTCTTTGCAATGGTCCAAAACCATTTTAATACCTCAATAAAGACCATCAGAACTGATAATGGTTTAGGGTTTGTGAACACTGAAACAGCTATGTTCTTCCAAACCAAAGGGATCATATACCAGAAAACTTGTCCATACACTCCACAACAGAATGGTATAGTCGAAAGAAAATACAAGTACCTTCTTGAAACTGCAAGAGCACTATTATATCAATCCAAACTGCCTATAAGGTATTGGGGAGAGTGCATTCTAACTTCTACCTACATGATCAATAGATTGCCATCTTCATCCCTTAGAGGGAAATGCCCATTTGAGATTCTATATAAAACGAAACCAAATTACTCACATCTTAGGAGTTTTGGATGTTTATGCTTTCCAACAAATCTGAAACCTCACAAAGATAAGTTTGAACCAAGGTCAACACCCCATGTATTTGTAGGATACACTTTTGGATCAAAAGGATACAAGGTTCTCAGCTTAACCACAAGGAAAATACATGTTTCAAGAGATGTGACTTTTCATGAAACAATTTTCCCTTTTGCATTGCCAGGAAAGCACACTGATTTAGTATCTAAATGTGAGCATCTATCTCTTCCTTTTCCTCATATAGGACCTAGCATGAGTTATTTTGACACTGTCAGTCCTACTGGTAACAGTAATAGTGATAATCCACATCAACAATCAATGTCACCTGAACTTTCATTTGGCAATGACACCAATGCCAATATTTATGAACTTGTTTCACCATCTCAACCAGACTACCAAAACTCTTCCAGCTCAAATAGAACCTCCAACACATCATCTGAACCTTGTTTTCACTCCCAGAACCAGCAACAATCCCTTCTGAATGATTCACCAAGCTCTGCACATTCTGAGCAGACTACAACCTTAACTCATAATAGACCTCACAGAACAGTCAAACCGCCTAGTTATTTGAAGGATTACATTTGCAATGTACCCACTCTTAACACTAATGCTGGGGAGCAGGTTACAGATAATGATCACAGTTCACCCTCCTTCTCTTTTCACACACATGTTCCCCATTTACAGCCTATATCCCTTAATGCTCTAAGTGGTAATAGTCAGCATTTAATTGAAAACCTTTCTACTGATTGTGAACCTGAGTCATATGAGGAGGCAGCAGCTATACCTGCTTGGCAACAGGCCATGAACCAAGAATTTGATGCACTCTACTCTAATCATACTTGAGATCTTGTCTCACTACCTGCAGGAAAGAAAGCAATAGGTTGTAAGTGGGTATACAAAATCAAGCATAAGGCAGATGAGAGTGTTGAAAGATTTAAAGCTAGGCTAGTTGTTAAGGGCTACACTCAGCAGGCAGGGATAGATTATACTGAGACCTTTTCACCAGTGGTGAAGATGACTGCTGTGAGAGCATTGGTCAGCATTGCAGTAAAAAAGGACTGGAAAATCTTTCAGCTTGATGTAAACAATGCTTTCCTACATGGAGACCTAAATGAAGAAGTATACATGCAAGTACCACCGGGGCTATCAGTAGGAAAATAGATTTTGGGGTGCAAGCTGAACAAATCTTTATATGGATTGAAGCAGGCAAGTAGGCAGTGGTATGCCAAGTTAACTGAGGCCCTATGTTCTAAAGGATATGTGCACTCCATGCTAGATTATTCTTTGTTTTACAAAAGGGAACGACGCTTAGTTATTTTTGTAGCAGTTTATGTAGATGATGTTCTCCTGACAGGGACAAATTTGGAAAAAATTAAGGCATTGAAGACCTTCCTACATGAGACTTTTAAGATAAAGGATCTGGGGAGATTACACTACTTCCTAGGATTGGAGGTACTATACAAGCATGATGGAGTAATAATCACATAAAGAAACTTTACAAGCGACCTGATAAAGGAGTTTGAATGCTCACATTGCACTTCAATGTCCTCTCCACTTGATCCTTCAACAAAGTTAAAGGCATCTGAGGGCAACTTACTCACAGATCCCACTCAATACAGGAAACTAGTGGGGAAACTAAACTTCCTCACTAACACACGACTTGATATTGCTTATAGTGTTCAACATCTCTGTCAACACATGCAGAGTCCTCGAGATTCTCATCTAAAAGATGCTATGCATGTGCTCAGATACTTGAAAGGTGATCTTGGTCTGGGGATCTTCCTATCAAATAGTGCAGATTATAGATTGAGAGCTTTTTGCGATTCAGATTGGGCAGCTTGCCCTGAGACTAGGAAGTCACTTAGTGATTACATTGTATTGCTTGGTGACAGTCCAATTAGTTAGAAATCGAAGAAACAATCCACTGTATCCTTAAGCTCTGCAGAGGCAGAATACAGGTCTGCGAGAAAGGTCGTTGCAGAACTTGTTTGGCTATCCAAACTTCTGGAGGAGCTAACCATGCCTCTAACTCTTCCTATTCCAATCTACTGTGATAACCAAGCTGCTTTGCACATTGCGAGAAATCCAGTGTTTCATGAACGAACAAAGCACATAGAGTCGACTGCTATTTTGTTAGGGATAAGCTCATTGAAGGGATGATTTCTCTGCATTATATCCACACAGATGACCAACTAGCAGACATACTTACTAAATCTTTGACGGGCATCAAGCATTCTTCACTGCTTCACAAGTTGGCAGTGAGTACCTCCCTTCCAACTTGAGGGGGGTGTTAAGATTAGAGTTGCATTGTAATTATTTAACTAGTAGCCATATTTGTTAGGATTGGCTATGGCTATTATTGCAATTAGTTAGTCAGGATGTTAGCTAGTGGTAGATGACATAAGTACAAATATAGTGTCTTGTATATAGGCGCACTAGTTCATATTTCTAACTAATAAGAAATATTTTTCCAGTTTGAGATTCTCTCGAAGCTTCCTCGTCTTCTCTGAGCTCCATGGCTTTCAGTCATGGCAGTTGAGCTTCAGCTCAAACATTTCTCCAATAGCCCTCAGTTTTGACAGAGTTATAACGTTATATATATCAATCGTTAAGGAGAGCCCCTAAATATCTCAAACTATGGGTTTATGAAGAATAATTCACAAATAAAAATGAGAGTAAGCAAAGATGCTTCTTACTTCTTTTTGTTTCTTTGCTCGCAAGTGCGAACGAGAAGCAGACATGCAGATTTCACATGCACAGCACCAATCCTGTACCATCAACACAAATTGTAGCAATTAATAATCTTACGAGGGTCAAAATATATAATTTCCTGTGTGAGTTCAGGCATTGAGTTTTTTTAAAATAAAATTTTAATATGTTAAACTACGTACATGACAAGTATCATAAGTTATCCTAGTTAATAATTCATGGGATTTAAAAAGAGCTTAAAAATCGTCATCAAAGAAAGAAAAAATTATTCGATTTCTCAAATAATTATAGCACCTTCAAATAAAACCATAAGTTTTACTTGAGAGGATAAAGCAAAATAGCAAATTTTCAGAAAATTATAAACAGCTCACCTTGTACTTTTCTCTATGATTTGGTCGCATAACGCAACCAGATGAGAAAAATCAACATCAGGAATCTCACTGCAAATCATTTGATAAATTAATGTGAAGAAATTAGTTGCATGAGATAAAAAATAAAAAATCGAATTTATCGTAGAGTTACTAATTTTGGTGTCTTTGATAAAAGTATAGATGTATGACTTTCTTCTAGATAAGAGAGTACTACATGTCATTTTTCATTCGCGATACAATAGCTTCGATTTCAGCACAATAATCCTCTAACGTTTGCACTACAAATTGAGGATTTTGTGCCCTCTTAGATATCATTAGGTGTTCAAACTGATCATTCACCAAACCCTGCATAAAAACAATTAAGGATAATTTTAAGTCAAACTACACATAAAAATAATCAAAAGAAGACAAAAAAAATGAGTTCAAACAATATAGAGATAGATAAGTAATTAGATTATATTCTACCTTTTTCAACATTTGGTTAAGAAGTCCTAGTTGGATTTCCTTCAAAATTCTCAATGCCATAGCAGCTGCAAAAGGAGATTAAAGAAAACAACTGCATCATGAACTAACGGAAAAACATCTACTTTTTGTTACACTAGAAAGTGAAATTTACCGAAAAAATAATTAAAATTTAAAAGGACTTTGTTGGCTATAGGTCATAAATCACAAATATTTTGGCTAATTTTGGAATTGTTGACGCAAAAGAAAAAGCAACCCCGATTTATTGAAAGGAAACAAACACATACAAAAGCAAAACCAAAGTTAAATAAATGAATAATTTTTGAAAGATTTGCAAGGTGCATGATAGGTACATGACAATCTTACAATTTTCGTCATCATTAACAAGTAATTAACTCATATAGCTAAATTTGAACTTGTTTGGAATTGATCCCTAGACGACTAGAGAGGAGAGAGACAGGAAAGTTAGATCGGACTGACCGGTTGGAATGATTACCAAAGTTTCCGACAGTTAGACTGTTTGAGAGTCTTGCAAGACTTTAAAGAGTTAACAACAAGAGAAAAGGAAAATGATTGAGAGATTTGATTGTGTACGACCATTCGAGATTCATGTTAGTATACTCGATATCGCATAGATCAATTGCAAGGAGATCTAGATTGAATAAAAAAGATCGATTCATGCTTGATACGATAGAGATCATACGTAGTAATTGTTGTACCATCAATATACAACTCGTAATAATAAACTAGTAATTATAACCGAGAAGGCTAACCATTTCTCAACAGGAAAAAAATTTGTACAAGATTATATATCAAACAAAGTAGTGCATCAAAAGGTCTTCAACAATAAGGTTAACTAAAACTAACCAACTTTTTATGTTACAAGTGTTACTGAACTACATGCGATCGATGTTATAGATGAAATCATGAACAGAATTTCTAAGTGATATATATAGAAACAATAAAATTTATCAATGCAAATCTTTTTCTTTTTCTCTATTTACCAGGAGATGTAACAAGTTAACATCAAAATAGACTCTTACCTATGATCAATACTTTTCTGAAAAAAGGCTCAATTCATCAATGAAGTCTTCTTTCTGAGGGAGGTGTTTATATAAGTCCAAAAATGATAAGTCCTCATTTATTACAATTTCAGTTACGAAATGAGAAATAGTTGAAATAAGATTTGAAAATGGGACACGTTTTTTTTCCATGTAGGTTAAAGATTCTTTTGATTTTGCATTAAGTGATGAGTTTAGTTTAAAGTTTGTTTTGAGTTTAAGCTAATTACGGTGTAAAATTACCTTTTTATCACTATAAGATCATCCAGTTTAAGCCACCCTTTTTTAAAAAAATCATATCAGCCAGAAAATCAATTTTTTGGCGTCAGAAAAGTGTGAATCCGTGATGTATGTTTAATCCACACACCATACGTTGCGCTTTTACTACGGGAACAAAACCCCCAGGCCTTTCATGCATCCTAAATTGCTGGTTGTATCTCTACATGGATAGATGGCAATAAATTATTATTAGTATCTCAACACGGATAGATGTCAATTACCCTCTTTTCGAGTCGAGAAGGAAAATAAAGCTTGTTGGTGTTTGAACCATCTTGAACTCTCAGCTTTATTATAACAATTTTTTTATCTTTTTGGTTAGATGAGATATGCACCGCAACTCTCAAATTAGTAAATTTAGAGAGGAAGAAAAAAATACGCTGCTGATTTCCAGTATATCTTACCATTCAAACTACTATTAAACCATACTTGATACAAGAAATAATGAGCTTTATATTAGAAAAAATACAAGCTGGACCAAAAACTTGAGATATGAAAGTTCAAAAAACCCAAGCTTTAGACTACTGAATCAAATACATTTGAAATTTAATGAAAATAAATTCTGCACAAAAAAAAATGGAGACAAACCAAGCTTTAGACTATGTCAGCTCGGTGCACAAAGCAACTCGCGTTAACGTAGGGTCTGGGAAAGGGCCGCACCTCAAGGGGGTGTGATGTAGGCAGCATACCCTTAAGCAAGCATCAGTGGCTGATTCCGCGGCTCGAACCCGTGACTACTAATCCATAAATTTTCACCCAACTTGTTAAGCTAAACAAAGAAAACAAAATACCTCTTCTAAGTTGAGTATCTAATATTCTCATACTCAATCTTTCCATTAAATTTGCTTACTCTACCAAACACAATTTAGAAATATTAATATCAGAACTGCTACTCACATCTTTGAGACTATTCTCTAAGGCAATAACCAAGTTGTCAAAGTAATCTCCAGTGACCTTAGTCAGCCAAATAAGTTTGGAACGAAAACGTTTGAAATTTTCGCAAAACCCTTGCTCTGTATAATCCAATTTCTCGGTAGATCCAAGATGATCCAATAATTCTTTCTCTGCACAATAATGAAGTCGCTCTAGACCTGCCTCTGCTTCCCCTTGCAAGAACTCGAAAAATTGCATTTTCGTCTTCTCTTTTTCCGGCAAATAAAATCCATAAGCATAAGACCATTTCAAAACTCTTCTACATTCAACAATTTGTTTCCAAGCTAATACAATAAATTCCAATCTATCCTCATATAAATAGTCCAATTCACTTAGTTTCTTCACTCCTTCATCTCTCATCTTATTTAAATCTTGTAATGCCTTTTGTTTTGATTTCTCATTAGACATCCATCTCTCATAGTAATGTGTGTACCTTCGTACATTTTTCTTGGCTTCCTTTATCTCTTTGTTTTCCACATAACGATTACAATTACCATAACAAGTAACCCACTCTTCTAAACAAAGCCAACAAAATTGGTACAAACACCTACAAGTCATATGCATACATCCCATATTTTTCTCAATAGCATTCTTACATTTAGGACACTTTTTAGTGAAAGCCAAAATCCAATTCGTATTTTCAGCTTCCTCAAGATTTCTAATTCTCCACTTAGCTATAGTATCACAATCAATCGGACGATGATTCTCATCCAAGCAATTCCAACAGAAAACATTAGAGCAATCACAAATCACATCGTAATTTTCACTCAAAATGTCAAATATTTTTACTGCATTTTTACATCCAGGGGCAGGACACCACTCGATTCTCCTATTTTCTTCAACATAAGATCTTATCAAATAATCATAATACTTCAATCTATCTTTTTCCGATGCTAATATAACAGTCACACTTTGACCTACCATGATGTTACAAGATGGTTTAGGACAACGTAAGACTAGACATTTAGGACCAATATTAATTGACGTACTAATGTAATATTCCCAACATACCTTACAAAAAGGGTGTTTACAATCACCAAATGCAACCTTTTCAAGAGAATACTCCTCAAAACAGATCCCACAAGTCAACAAACTATTAGAATCCGAAAACGTTCTTTTTCTTAAAGGGTTTTCGGTTTCTTTTTCAGATAACATACCTATAGCTTTGCGAACTTTGGATTGGTTAGCGAACCATTCTTCATTAGCTCTGTATATATTCCATTTATAGTGAAGCACAAGAGCTAATGAAACGTCTCTTGGAACCGAAAGAATCATCGAAGTTCTTGAGATATAATTTTTCATGAGTTGACAAATATCTTTATCTTTCAAGATTCTGTAATTTTTCTTGCTTTGGGAGTCTAAGGGTTCGTCAATGGTGCCGTCATCACTGAAAACTTCCTCCTCCGAATCCATATCATAAATATCATGATCGGAATCCATTAGCAAATTGTGAAAGAGAAACAAGAATTTTAGAGAAATCCTAGGGTTTTGGGAGGATCTTAGAATAAGAAACCTAATGGAATTTGGAGGCTTTTAGGTACGTATGGTTTCAAGCAAAACAAAACAAAAAAAGAGGAGATCAATATGTACTATAAAATTGCCCAACCTAGTAAAGGGGCTTGGGCTCGAAAAAGACATCCTAAACCTATAGGGTTTCAACCCAAAAAAAAAAAAAAAAAACTAGCAAAAGTAGGAAGCTCTTGTTCTTGGGTTAAATTAAAAAATAGTCAGATTTACAAGTGGTAATTGAAAAATAGCCGTAGTTTTAAAAGTAATCTAAATTTAGCCACTTTTTATATAAAGATAAATCTGAATGAAAACATTGTTCAAAATCCGAAAAATATTCCAGCATAATATACTGGAATTCGAATTTTTGACATGTGAACTTCCAGAATAATATACTGGAGTTCCAGTATATTATACTGAAACTCCAGTATATTATGATGGAGTTCCAGTATAAATATACTAGAACTCCATCATAATATGCTGGAAGTTCATACACACGTGCTCCAATCTCCACTATATTATGCTGGAACTTTCCGTGTGCTGGAATTACAGCATAATATGCTGGAAGTTCATACACATGTGCACCAATCTCTAGTATATTATGCTGGAATTTTTCTTGTTGCAGCAAAATAGTGGCTATTTTTCAACGACTTTGCAAACGCTATCTATTTTTCAATTACTAATCCGAAAATTGGCTAGCCCGTGCTATTTAGACCTTGTTCTTCCTTTTTTGAAAAAAATATAATGTTTGGTTTATTATTTTTAATTAAAGTCTAATGAAGTACGTTAGAGGTCTTATGATATATCATATGGAATTGTTGAACAGTACGTGTATACCTCATATTTAATTTGATTTATAATCGTGTCTTATTCAATCTCCCTATATCAACAATGCTCTCCGATCTAATCATTTGTACAAAGCTTCTTGATGTGGTTCAAGAGTGCTCTTTGCTTTTTGTTAGGATCGAAATAATCAGGTGTGCGGAAACTAATCAAATATAGTATCTTATAAATCAGACAATAAAAGAGAAATAAACCAAAAGAAATACAAATATTTAATGTGATTCGGTCAATTGACCTACATCCAGAGGCTGAGATGAGTAATCTACTAATTAAATAAAAGAGAATACAAAATATCGAGAGAACAACTTCACAAAGATGCAAACACAAGTGGCAGGATAACACTTGTCTCACAAATTCTCTCCCTAAACAAGACTCTCAAACCCCCTATAGCTACATTATAGATGCTACTAAATTAGAAGGAAGGATTCTCAAATTATAAAAATCTAAAACCTTTTCTTCCAAGAAAGAAGACTACGCAAATATGAAAAATTTATAATTTCTTTTTAGGAAAAGTAAAAAATTTCCATCGAGAAAAAGAAAAACGAAATATAGTAAGAAAATCAGGACAAACACCTAACATTTTTTGTCAAAGTCTTATTAGTTGTTATTGATTAATTAATGATATTCTTTAGATAGGACGAATATCTTACAAATAGATTGATTGGACCAAAACACCATATATATTTTGCGCACATAATTAGGTTGGACTTAAATGGAATAATATTCATATATCATTAAAATGACAACGATAACAAAAATAGATAAACGATAAGCAACAAACTTATAACTAGAAACGCATTAATTAAAAGACAGGATGACAAAACAATGATAGGAAAATAAAAGTTTTACATCCTCAATCAAGGTACTTAGGATGACCCATCATTCTTCTCTCCATCATCGTTGGCATTACCTTCTCCAAACCCTATTCCACTGCTTTGACTTGCAACATTCTCATCTACTAGTTGTTGATTGACTTGTTTCTTTTTTTCTTCAAGTTTAGCCCTCTTCACAGCAGATAGCTCTAGCAAACAATTGCACAGTGTGGTTTTTAATTAAATGATAAATTACTTTCTTAAATAGATGTAGTTAAAATCTTAAAACTCGATCTTGAAGTTGGAGAAATAATCATATTTCCATAATGAATGTTTTTGGAGTAGTTGACAAGTGCACAAATGATCGACTGATACAACGTAATAAATAAATAAATTTCGGGTGTATATATTAGTTTCAATAAATAAAGAAATTCATATGTTCAATGATACTTTGAGGTTTAAACTTTCTCAAAGTTGATATATACTAGGATTATTCAAGATCATTTCTCTGTAAGCTGGCTGAGCATAAGTTTCCAGCTCGTTTTTGTAGTAGTGAAATCATTCCTTAACCGGCTCAAGGTTTGGGAAAACCTGAAATTAATCCTCTATTGTTTACACTACAAACTGGGATTTTGTGCCCTCTCAGATATCATTAGGTATTCAAATTGATCATTCACCAAACCCTGCATCAAGACAATTAAGGATATAATTTTTTAAAGACAACGTACTACACTTAACAATAATAAAAAGAAAATGAGTTCAAACAAGATAGAGATATATAGTGACATGTTAGATTCTACCTTTTTCAACATTTAGTTAAGAAGTGCTAGTTGGAGTTACGTTCTTTCAAAATTCTCAATGCCATTGCATCTGCAAAAGGATATTAAAAAGAACAACTGCAAAGTGAAAATCACCAATATAATAATTAAATTGACTTGTTTGAGTATAGTTCATAAATCACCAAGTATTATAATATTTTGACTAATTTCAGAAGAAGATCGTTGTTGAGGTAATATAAAAAGTTTCCTTTTTTTTTTGTGAGAACATATAAAGCATTCTACTTTCACGTCGCGAAAGGTGCTGGAGAGGGGGGAGGGGGGATATCGATTCACTGAAAAGGGAGATGAACAAACACAAAAAGAAAACCAAAAATAAGTAAATGGATAATTTTAATATAATTTTGAAGGATTTTCAAGATGCATTATGAGAGGTACTATAACAAATCAGCATGACACGTCGCAGGGTCCTAGGCGCAGCACCAGGGAGAAACATCCACCCAAATATATGGACCATTATGTGGTCCCAGATCCCAAGAGAATAAACCTCTGCCAAGTCGTTATAGAAAAGGACAAAGGACAACCTTGCACCGAATAACATAAATAGGAAAAGAATCAACCAGAAATGCTATGGATGAACTTGCTTATAATTCTTTAGCTTAGAAATTAGATCTGGAACCTCCATTTTCTCAGTTTTTCCTTTCTTTTTGCTCTAGGTACTCCCAGAAGTTGAGGAACAAATCCCTCTTTATGGTCTGGAAATCAGTTTATCATCAATATAATTTCACTTGTTGCATTTGGTGCTTTCATTGACCCTTCCTCTTCAAATGGGTGATGTAGCTCACAATACCCGTTTGAAATCACTGGATGAAGTTGTTAAGCAACTCCAGGCTGATTCTGCTTCACATACCAATGCTCTGGAGTCCATTAACACTGTCCTTCAGGATATTGTTTCTCAGCTGGCATCTATCCGTCCATCGTCGTCGGCACCGCCGCCGCCCACTACTGGCCCTCTTTCTTCTACCCCAAGTCCTTCTTCTACACCTTCACCATATACTTTTACCCAGCTACCAAACTCTGCTCCTACTTTAGCCCAACAACCACAACAAGAGATTTATCCAATGACCCAACAACCATTTATGCCCTTTCGGCGTGATAAACCAGCACCAATCGATTTGCCCAAGTTCGACGGTCTCTACGTTGAGAGTTGGACTTTGCAAGCTACTCAATATTTTGACAGGTATCATGTTGCCGATGAGGACTGCTTGGACCTTTGTTCTTTCCTTCTTGAAGGCGAAGCAAGGGAGCGGTACCATTGGATGTATCGCAATCGTCAGTTGTGCGGGTGGGCTCACTTTCTCAAAGCTGTTGTGTATCGCTTTGGGACCAAGTTACTGGAATCTCCATAGAGCTTGTTGGCTAAATTGCATATGACTTCCTCTGTCCGTGAGTATCTTTCTCAGTTTGAAAAACTTGCAAATCGAACAACGGAGATGTCACCATCGATGCTCAAACATTGTTTTACATCTGGGCTTCACCTAGAAATTAAAGCAGATGCGTTGTTTTTTAGACAGGTGGATCTTAACGAGGCCATTGGACTGGCATTTTTGCAAGAAGAGAAACACTTGGCCCAACCCAAATTGTCGCCCCGGCCAACTACGTTTAGTAGACCCACTTCCCTCCCTTTCGCCAATCACACTGCATCTCACCCTAAACCAAACCAGCCCTTTTCCCCGTCATCACCTTCTCCGACTATTTCTTTATCGGGTGTTGGTCGTGTACCTTTCAAGAAACTTACACAAGCGGAACTACAACGCAAACGCGACCTCAATCTTTGTTTTAAATATGATGAAAAATGGCAGAAGGGTCGCCGTTGTTAATCCCAACCTCAACTTTTTCTTCTCGTGCCAGAAGAAGATACTATCGATGAGACTCCTTTAGACACCTCACCTTTGGAATATTGTAACCAGGGTGGGTGAACCCTCATAGATATCAGGTATATCCACATATATAGAGTCAAAAGATATATGGAGTTTGGAGGGTAAGGGTTTTCTTCGGGGCTCAAGAGATGGAATATATAGGGCCCCACAAGTTTTGAATTTGCCTCTAGGGAATTCACACAAAAGGGAACGAGGAATTCTCAACGAAAAAAGTGCTCTCTGAACCGAACATGAAAGTAGTTTTTCATCAGACGGCTTTTCCTGTAACTCTACTCTCGACTTGGATTATATATCCAAAAAGGTCCGCTCTCGGCCAATCCACATGCTACCTAGCAGAGATATGGTTATCTGAAGTGGATTCTCTCTTTTGTAGTAGATACTTATTTACGTACTACCCCTTAGGCCTAGGGCTTCGTCGTACCCTGCTTAATCCTCTTTCAATTTCACTGGCTTTTACTTGTCTTTTTTTTATTGGCTTATTTATAAAATGATATCAGCATTTGAGATGACTCTCGCCGACCAATCCTCAGTCGTTCGTCCTTGCCTAGAACCACTATCTCTTG